AAGTTAAAAATAGTGGCTAACATTCAAAAACTAAACACCACTGAGAACAATCTAATCATACCAATTGAAAAAAAAAAAAAAAAAAAAATTTCAGTTTTTAATAATTTGCATTGCCAACATAAAATTCTCAATATACCATGGCTATAGAAACCTTCTTGAGGGCCGCCAAGATGCATGTAAAAGGCTGCATGTGGTCTGCAAGTTTGACACACCTGATCTAAGCAATACAAACTAAGGATGAGACTATAGCATAATGCATGGAATGACACTAAAAAATACCCTAATATTATGCTGAAATTGTTGGATATAAGCATAAGATCTGTGTTAACCGTTTCTTCTCTCATACTTCTCACTTGTGGAACTCTTCTGGCTACTTGCTTTCCTGTAAACTATGATCTTCAAAAATGTAAATGCAACATCAACAGTCATCTGTCTTTTTGAATCACGTTCTTTCTTCTCAATAACATTTTCTCAGTTTCTTTCACTCTCAGTAACTCCTTGCATCTTAGTGGCTTTATCACTTTGCTTACATTCCAAATATGCCATACAGCAGACACAATATATATATAAAGAATATTATATATATATATATATATATATATATATATATATATATATATAAACAAACAAAAAAGATAACCTGTTGCTAAAACATGTTTAAAAGTTTGAAGACAGAGCTGTTGCAAAAATGCTCAAGAATCCTCAAAGAATAACCAATATTGTGAGTAAGATTATTAAAGAGGAATTTAATATAAGATGCATATAATTTAAAAGTTAGTTCTATAAATTAATCAAATCAAGTCCTAAAAAGTTGCCAAATTGCTGGGTTACAAATTAGGAATTTTTTTTTTTTTTTTACTTGGAGAAAAAAAAAACAAAAAAAAAACTATGTATCAAACTTCAAGATTTACTAACATTTTAAAACTCTTGCAAAATTATCATAATGTAAAAACAATTAGAAAATTCATTAAGATCCAATGTAATTAACTGACAACTACTATCATTTCTGGTGAGTGGTTGGTCTCTGAGGAGTAATGGCAAATTTGGTTCTTCTGGGGTTTTGTGTTAATTTGAAAGAATTAATGAATTTAGTATAATCCTGTTTATTTTAGCAATAATGTAAACAGTACCAAACCAGAGTTCATTGTTGTTAGTTGGAGAATAAAAAAACTGATAGTGCTGGCAACTCATATAGCTAGCTAATTCCTATTGCAGAGGCCTGTTCAAATACATTCATGCTTCAACGCACACAAAAAACAACCTGTGATTTATACTGCAACTATGCTGAGAAGAGACCATAGTTACAGTCTCTGAGAGAGTGCAGATAATTTAACTTTAATCAATAGTTTGAACAAGGCCAGTACAAACTCTCAGTCACAATGACTTGTTACTTTGTGCTAACGCAACCATTGACACCTTCCTATAGTTACATCTACTCAATTTCACTCACAAGGATTTGGATCAACCAATGTTTCCAGGCAATTCCCAAGGTCAATATTATCAAGAAATCACCTCTTTGACAAATCTATCATGGTGAGAATTGAACTCTGGTCTTTATACCTGGAATGCGACATTCTAACCACAAGACAATTCACCCACTTGCCCTGAAATGAAGCATAATCTTACCTGCTCCACAAGAAACCTGCTAGATAACGTTTTGGAGATTTATTTTTGACGAAAGATAATATATTTTTTGTTATTAAAGACTATTAGTCACAAATGCCGGTTTAAAATTTTAAAAAAAAAAAAAAAAAAAAAAAAAAATGTATGGGATTTACTAATTCAATGCGAAATTGTTTCCGACTTCAAAACCACTGAAAATATTTTTCTTTTTATGCTCCTTCTTCTGGTCACTCTTTGATTTAACAAAAGTAAGACGTGAAAACTCCTGGTAACAGATATATCAACATTCGGTTAAATGCTAGATGATTTTAGAAACAAAAAGCAAATAACTTTTTAAAAGTAAAAAGATTTTGCAGAGGACCTGAATGACCACAACGAACTCAAAGTGGATAATGAGGTGGATGGAAATCGATACCGCCTCTCTATTTATCTTTGAAGTTTTGAATGTAGCTTAGGAAGAGAGAGAAAAAATAGAAGAAATGTGTACAAATAAATAGAAAGAGAAAAAAATGGATTCAAAGTTAAAAGTAGGTAGATTTACTACTGGCAAACAGAAACCCATCTTTCACAACAAATTGTAAAGATTTTGAAGTAAAAAATATATATATACTGATCTTATTGTAGCACATTTCCCTTTTAGCTTTTTAAAGATTTAAAATATGAAAAAAGTCATTTATTTTAATCACTATTTAAATGAAGAATATTAAAAACGGATGATAATTTTTAAGAAAGAATAAAAATATCAGTCACAGTGGAATGCATAAGTACTCCTTAACCAGTCAGTGATAGGACACCTCAAGAAAACGAGATTAAAATTGTCCTATTGAATTTCGTTTTTGTATCCAAAAAAATTTATAAAAAGAATAAAAAGCGGAGAATCAGCGTCACTGTCATCTATTAGATAAAAAAATTGTATGTAATGTAAACTTATATTAACCATAACCATTAAAAATAAAATCATAGTCTCAATGCAGAACTTGTTTGTAATGATGCCGGACGCGAACAAGTGCACATATGTTTAATGAAACGCCAAATGTCTAATGAGAATGAGGAAGTTTAAAAGGTTGGAATTCAGTGGAATTTGAGAGAGCAGCATGTGCTGGATACCATCCATCTAGTGACTAGTCAATACTATGTTTTTGTTTGATTCTATACGATTATTATTAGAGTACTTAAAAAAGTTGGTCAAAATCAAAACGAGTAGTCAAATGCTTTCTTTATTCAAGCAGGGTCCCGAGTTGAGAGAGGGTTTGTTTAACAAAATTACTGCAGAGAGTACGTGCTTACTCTTATAGTCTTCTTGTATTATTATGGTGGTGGTTGTTTTTCGGTTATTGGTTAGAAAAACTAAAATTGACACTGACTGTTTTTTCAAAACAAACGAGTGTCAAATTTACAATTTAATAAGTTAATTAATTTATTTACTTATTGCCTTTTTTTCCTTTTTTTTTTTTTTAAAACGTAATCAGAATCAAGTAATTCCAAAACCTGGACCATATTGTGAGAAAACGAGTTGTCAACTTGTGTGTGTGTGTATGGGGGGGGTAGAATCTAAAAAAGAACAATATGAAAATATGGTTTCTTAATAAATAATACTGACTACTGAGCGTCGTATTAGTACTTTGGTTTTACATTTCATTTACGCATTCAGTGTACTGTAAAAAAGGAAATATATATCACAAGTCGTCATAATCATTTCGACCCTTGCGTCACAATGAGTTGCTAAAAAAAAAAAAAAAAAAAAAAAAGGTTTAGGGAGGGTGAAAGTAGAAATATTTTCTCCACTTATTTATTAACCGATCCTTCTCGTAGAGAGGAAGTCGGAATGAAAGAAAGAGGAAGGACAGGGAGATTTATACAATAGCTCCTCTGAAAGAATGTGATAGGGAAAAATTTCGATGGTGTGTCTTTTTGACACTTCACTTAATCAGCTATGGCCGAGTCTGTTCAGTTGTGGACTTCGAAATTGAGTGGGTGGGTGAACACACACAATAATTCATACATGCCGTTGTTGTTCACGCATAAACGGATCTAAGCATTCAAGACATTTCTTTATCAATATCAGATCAAAGAAATTACTCTTGATTTTATTTAAAATTAGCAAGGCAAAGAATAATTAAGAATACCTCGCATCACAAGAGAAAAGTTAGACTGCTTTCCTCAATTTTTAGAATTAGGATTTTGTTGAGGGTTTACTGACAAAAAGAAATGAAGTGTTTGTTAAATCGATACACACTCCAAAGAATATCCCAAAATTCCGAGTGAGAAGCATTTAGAAAAGATAATATTGATGTTTATTCATCTTCTTGCATAGCGTAATGATAAACACTGAAACAGCTACCGTGAAAGATATTGAAATAGAAAGGAATCGGTTTTCAAAATGTAGCAGACTACTTATGCTCACATTGTTATATTTTTCAAAGATTTAAACTTCACGTTTAGGCTTAAAGTGAATGGAAACTTCACTAGAGAACTTAAAATAGCTAGACTTGATTGGCTGAAAATAAATTTTCGTTTTTTATTTTATCTTATTTTTAATTTTAACTTCTTTTTCCAACCCCTATGTCCACGCCCCTCGCGAATTTTATAAATCAGATGATACCAAAGTGAATATAAAAAACATTGTCATAACAAGGCGTGTAGTAAAGGTAATTAAGTTTAGAAAGCATGAAGGATGATCGAGATATTTTTTTCTTTAAGAATAAGGTTTCAAAAACAGTCAAAACTGAAAAAATAAAATAAAATAAATAAAAATAAAAAGGGAAGTCAGGAATACTAAACCCAAAAGATTGTAAAAAAAAAAAAAAGGTTGGGCAAATTTGTTCATTGTCAGTAAAAAATACCAATAAAGTTTAAAACGCGTTGGAGTGAAAGTACTCTTAAAAAATGTAACGGAAATATTACTTTTAAAAAGCCAATTTCACTCACCCCCAAACAGTCTTCTTACGTTTAAATTTTTATTTTTGCATAATGAAAAAATTCATAAGAAAAAAATAAAAAAATAAATAAATAAAAAAATAATCAATATTTAAATAAAAGAAAAAAAAAAAAAGGCAGATTTTCTGGATAATAAAAAAAACAAAAACTTTGTAGAAAATTTTTAATTCAATAAAACCAAAAAAAAAAAAAAAAAAAAAAAAAAAAAAATTATCTTAAAAATAAGTCAAAAAGAAATCCTATTTTAAATTATTTTGAAAAATATAAAAATAAACAAGAAATCTGAGCGCTAAAAATGCCAGAAAAATACCAGCGTGAAATTATTCTATGAATTTTTCTCACATTCTAATGCGGAAACAGTCAGTTCACAATATGAAGAAAGAAAAATAAATAAAAGAAAAAGCAATCTGGAAAAGGCATTTCGCAAACAAAATACCTACCTGATCATCTACTAACATATCCTCCGTACTGGCAGCTCCCTGTGAAAATAATTAAATATATAAGAAAAATTCAATCTCAAAAACAAATTAGATTTAGAGAGGAAAAAAAAAAAAAAATTCTTCGTTTATTATTTAAAGAAAAAATGTTCCCGGATTTTATTTTTTTATGGGCGAAACCGGAAAATTAATTTTTAAATGAAAAAGAAAAGAAATTCTTACATTGGAGACAAACACTGATTAAATGTATCAAGTTATTTGGTATGAATAATTTTATTTAATATTTTTTGTCAGTTTTGTTATTTTTCATTAGTAAACAAATAAACAACGATTACTTGTGTCGGCATGTAAAGTTAAGCAATACCCGGTCACAAAGTGGGGGATGAGTTTTACTCAGCAGAAACAATATTGAATTGATCGTAGAATTTTCATACGGAAGACGTTCTAAATATATATGTTAACTTTTTTTTTTTTTTTTTTTTAAACAAATACTTTTCTTTTAATAAATTACGACTTTTTTTTTCTTTAAAAAGAAAGTTGAAAAGAATCTTACGGTACCTCAGTCTCTTGAGCCACTTCCATGCGTTTCCATGGGTCTGCTAGCGAAGCCAGCGGCATTTTTGGACTGAAAAGCGGAATTTTGGTAGAATTTTTTTCTTTTTCTTTTTGGTAAAAAATGATATTCCGATTGAGATTAATTCTCCACCTCGAGCCACTACTACCTACTTTCTGATATTAGCTTAGATATAAAATGGCGTCGCCAGCGAAAACGAGGCTTTGACCTGCTTATCGTAAGTACAGCAGCAGTTGCCTAACACAGATAAATAAATAGTGAGTGAGTGAGTGAGTTTAAGGTACCATGCAATGTACAACCCTTCAAAATTAAAATTGATTCCAAGAAGAAACATTAGGCTCTCGTTTTTGTATTTGTGAAATCTATACTACTTATACACAAGGATTTGGCTTGTAAATAGTAAAGTTGTAAATTGAAAAGTTTTAAGAACCAAATAGTAAAAAACTTCACACTAGTGAATTTAGCCTTAAAATGATTGAAGAAGTAATAATTTCAATTTAAGATTTTTTAAAACGTTCTCACTTTAAAGTAAAATTTCAAAAATAAGTTGGTGATGGAAGTGAATTTAAAGTCCGATATCATTTTATCAGTAATGAACTAAATCAAGAAACAGTAGTTTCATTTTCAAACAAGGAAAATCTCCACATGAATTTTATGTAAAAAAATGTATAAAAAGAAATTGAAGGCGCAAATAGGGAGTAGAGTTGAAGGTTTATTTATTTTTTTTTTTTTAACTTTGTTAATGTTAACTAAATGGAAATCAATTTCCAACATTTCATCCTAGGGTCACAGCAATATTTGTAAATCCCTAGTAGTGACAGATTTAACTCAGAGATCTGAGATTCAAAGATCAGTTCTTAATTTCCAGCCAGCCAACCACAGTTCCTGGTGGGTGAGGCTCCTTAACATATATTTTCTCTGTAAACTGAATTTATATCATAGAAATGAAAAGGCCTTATTATTGTCTCTTGAATTTTAAACTATTTACACAATATAAATAATTGTTCATCCTAGAACTTTTATTGTTAAGTTGCTGGTTCTTTAACTGAGTATAATTCAAACCTATAAAAAGACATCTAGATTTGAATAATTTTTATAATTGATACATTCACATGCTTTTATGTAATAGTCTTCAGCATAAATATTTAGTAATGAGAACAAATAAGGTTGGTTTCAAGCTTCGATTTTTATATATATACAAAAATTAAAAATCACTGAGATGTTATTAATATTTTTTGATAAATTAAAACAGAATCATTCAAATTTATATGGAAAATATAATTTTCTGTTAGAAATTTATGGTTTTATTTCATGTTGTTTGAAAGTTGTTTGCCTTATTAAGCTATTCATTCTCAAAATGTTATTTTCTCTAACCTGAAAACATGATAGCAGGAGTTAATTGACACCTTTCCTTGGTAAACATAAAATGGTAAAAAAATACTACAATGTCTTCTGAAGCAAGTTGGTATGTGATATCATTGTTTCATATACATTTACACACTCACAATATACTCCAAAAAGTTATTTTATTTTCTGAATATATGGATCTTTCTGAAGAAAATAGCTTTATGACAAAAAATTGCAATTATATGTGTGGCACAAGGCCAAAAGTATGAGACACCCAGTGAGGATTGAACATACTACTCAGTTGTAAATTGTTCTAGTGAGACAAGCTTGCTAACCATTACACCATATTGAGGTGCCCAAAGAAATTGCAGTTATGCAAATGAACGGAAAAAAATAAATGTGTCAGATGTTTTGTAAATATTTTAAGATGAGCCATAATGAATTTAATAATTTGAGTCTTTAACAAAGTAAAAGCAGAAATATTTTGTGCAATAGTTTTAGTAATCAAATTGCCAAAGCTACAGAAACATCCTTTTTTTAGTTATAAAATAATTATCCCACATTCTCTGTCTGAATGTAATTATGTCTTTGTCAAAAATCCTGTCCTTAAACAGCTACTTCAACCAGCTTATAAAGGACTCTTTAAAGTAGTAAATCACCATGTAATGTTTTTCCTCTTCTTATAAATGTGTAAGTGTAAACTGTTTCTATTGAAAACCTGCCTTTTTACAAGATGATTCTGTTTATCAACAGAATAATTCCTCTTTTTGTAAGATCTCATGATTCTGCTCTTCATGATACCAGAGTAGTTCATTGGGCCAAGACATTATGTTCCTATTTTACTTATTAATATTTTGTAACTTTTCTCCTTTCTTTAGACTGACCATCACACTTCGGACATGTATTTCTTGTACTTTTCATTATTTTCACCAAAAAAATTTAAATGTTTTGGCAAAATCTCAGGAACTATAAGAACTTAGATTTGAAACTAAGCAAGGATACTTTCTAGGCTATGCTACTTGTGTTCTAAGAACCAATACTGTAGTAACTTCTGAGTTATTACAAAATAAAATGTTTAAGAAACATCACTGGCTGTCTAGAAAAGGTAAAAATGAGGATTTTATTCACTTTCTTACTATTATGGTAAACAGGGATGTTGCTAGTGTCTCCACTCACACCCCCAGCAAAACTTTGATACAGGGATCCCTTCACTACTACATATCTATTTCATAATTTCCCAACCTGGGGGCCACAGACCCTGAGAGGAAAATTTGGTGGGGAAGCACAGCAATTTATTAAAATTACCAAAAATCAGGGAATTATCCAATTTAAATGAAAATTTCAGTACATATTCATTAATTATTTACTTTTATAATAAATAGTACTTTTTTATTTTCAAAAAATCTGAGAAAATGTTATTCTTTTTGTAATAACCACAAATATTTTCATGACTGAATTTTACTTGAAAAAAATGTTTAAGTTGCAAATTTTTACATTTCCATAAACACTGATCGCTGATGCATCTCCACTGAAAAAAAAGTTTTACAAAGATTCCAACACAACACAAATTGGATTGTCTTAAAAACTTGTTTTAAAAACAGTATTTCAGGAAAATTTTTCATGCATTGAAATCTTTAAACATTTTTATTTTTTAAATGATCATTTTCTCAATTTTATCTTTCTCGAAGTGTAAAAAATAGGTGCTAGAAATTTTATTTCAATTACTAGCCATGGACTTCTGGTTAGTATTACTATTAGTAAAAAGAAAAAAATCAGAGATCCTCCTTTGGGGAGGATCTTGGAATAAAAAATGATTTTACCAAGATATATTACCCTCTTAATTGATTTAAAAGAACTGTTCAGAAAGAAAATTACAATTTAAAAAATAAGCTCAACTGAAATTAGCACTTCTGAAACACCTCCTCAGTAGGTAAGGGGCATCCACACGGTTGAGAGGATCAGGGTAGTAAGCACCAACCCTGTCGATTATTATAATTGATGATTGATATTATAACTTAGGTAGAAAAATGTAAAAAGTACAAAAATAAAAATAAAAAAAACGCTGCTAAAATTAGCCCTTTTGTGCTTCCAAGCTCATTGGGAGTTCCGGCATAGTACACACTACACTGACCATGCAGATACCTGATGTATATTATTAGTAAATGACTGACAATGTAGCATCAGTTTAAAAGTAATAAAAAAGCAATGTTGGATTGCCATAAAACAGTGCTGGAAAAAAAAATGGCAGAGGCCACAACAGGGGGCCCCCAAAACATGCTTCCCTCCCCAGTTGGGGGTAAGATGTGCCAGCCTTGATGATAATTTCTAAGCATAGCTTAGATGTGACACAAGGCTGAAAGTGAGGATTGATCTCACTATTCAGTTATAATTGATCTAGCAAGACAATCTTACTAATCATTACATTACGTCAAAATGCCCCACTTGCTTACTATCATGGCTGAACATTCTTTATAAAGACAGCAGTCATAATATCTCAAGGATCAGAGACTTTCAAATGGCTATCCTGTAACAGGACACTGTATAACCTCATCTGTGGCAAATAAAATTCTCAACATGAATATACTTTGAATTTTCCTTTTGCTAGCATCTACAGCCACACACTTAAATACATACCTATAAATTATTCTTTTTCCATGTTTCCTATAGTGTCGCCAATAAGATGTTTAAGTCACTTGGATGAACCAGAATTTGTCGAGACTTGGATCTGATGTTTTGCAGCCTAGGCTAGGGCTAAAAAATTGAAAGACAATCAGTTAAGAGGGGAAAAAATTAAATAACTGACGTCTTTCTAGCTTTCAAAGGTTGTGAAACTATAATGAAAATTTCTGTTATGGCATATTACAAACAATTGGAGAATTTGACTTTCACCAAAATTTCAGAAATTATAAAGAGAAATTTATGACCTAAAGAGAAACTTGTCATAGCAGAAAGAACCAAATTTCTGTTCATTATACAGAAACAAGAAGAATCAATTATGCAATCACAGATTAAGAGAAGCTAACAGATTCTGTAAATTTGAGAAACTTTGAACTCAAGATTTGACTATTGAGGATGAATTGATTCAATTACAGTTGATTGGAGGTATGGCTGAAATATCTCATAAATATAAAATATTGGAACAATTACAATTGAATAATTTCTCTCTAACTGCATGATTTGGATACTTTGACCATGTTGATTATCTACTGCATTGTGTAAAATTGATTCTTCTCAGGTAGGTTTTTCCTTTTAATGCTGTCAGCCTCAACTGATCAACTTGAACAGGAAATAGCATGAAACCTTACAGACAGCTTCAATCATTCATAGTCTCTCTCTTTTTTCTATGTACCATGTCTTTTCAGGATGTGAGTGATCATGATTCTCCACAGCTTCCTGTAATTAGTTGTTTTCAGCAATATTTGCTCCTTTATAACCCTCTTTGTCTTTGTGCTACTCATTACACTATGCATTTGTTCAAACCTGTCAAGCAGGTTTCTTCCTGTTTCTCTTGACATGCCCTGTGAATATTATATTCTTGAAGCCTTTTCTCACTATTATCCCCAAAATTTCACTTGTCTCTTTCTGATTAGCTACAGTTTCTTTGTAGTTCTAATTCTGTTTAAAAATTTATTGCTTTTTTTTTAAGCATTTTACCCCAAGCAAGGTGGGAGTACCACTAGCACACAAGGTGGGAGTG